AACTAAATTAATATGTCTCTATCGGAAGATCGGGAACCCCTTGGAGGAGGTAACCTACGGTTGCTAACAAGGCTTCCCACAGTCTAAATGAAATTATGGAACTCATTAAGTTGAGTTTAGTAAATTCATTTGGACTAAGTGATTCCGATAGAAAATAGTGGTGCCGGGACGATGGAACCGTGGGATCTTGACCGGTGTCGCTTTAATCAACTTTAATATGCCCATAATAAAATTTAAAGAACTTTAATCATAAAGTCACCTGATTTGATATTATAACCAAATGACCTAGAAAACTTGAACTCTGCTACAACGAGGAGCTTGGAGCTTACATGGTGGGCAACCCGATCATCTTCAACAGCAAGAGTATCTTCAACAACATGTCCAACACATCCTTCCTTAGCTTTAAAACAACAAAGCCATAGGATATCGAGGTCGTTTGCCTAGTGCAATATAAATCCTCAAACACATCTTTTAGGCATTTGTACAATCCTGTTGTACAATATAAGCCCTAAACCCGTCTTAGGACTCCGAGGTAGTCATTTGTCATGACTTAAATCCTCACATTTTCAAAGGTTATTTGTGCTGATTGTTTCACACAAATATAAATCCTAATAAATAAAAAATTGCAGGATGAAACATTTAAGTGATTTCTCCTAAATTGAAGCCAAATAATAGGATAGCTTAGGAAGTCACCGAAGTTCTCCTTCGGATCTGTGGCATCCTCTAGTATTTCCTTCTTTGGACTCTAAAATAAAATGTTCCAAATTTGAACCAATCCCCCTTCACACTTCTTAGTCCGATATCTTTGAAATGTCCTTACCATTTGAACTCCTTGAAGATAATTTTTCCTTGATTTCTATCGAGAGTATTCTTAGGTAACTTCAGTTATCTAAGATGTAATTAACTATAGGGGCTTGCCCCTATAGGAAGCTTTTCCCGAACCCAGCACAATATAAACCCTATTTAATTCCTTATATTAAATAGGGGAATTTGTCGGCCAATATATTGGTTCCGCAGATCAAACGGATGTCATGACTTTCTCTAGTTTATTTGATCGAGCCTCACCCTTCAATTCTTGTATTCATCCTTTGGGATAGATACAGAATTTGAGGTAAAATGCTCTTCCATTAAACTATGAAAATTATGGGGTCAGTTTAACTTCATCTTTTTCAAAACTAAATTTTTTTTAATGTCCTTCCGAAGCGGGCAACAGATTTTCAATTCCGATGACCGACAGCTTCTTACGGGCAAACCCCGCACCAAAAATAGTGCCGACAAAGGTTTCAACCCAAGGAGGAAGAAATCCCTCAAATCCTCTCTCAAACTCTCTTTTTTGTTAGTCTAAAAGCATTCTTTGATACAAAACTACTTCTTAGAAGCCCCAAGGTCTGATTTTAGTGCATGAATCACAGTTTGATTATGGAATCTCTTTTTCAAAGTGTTTCCCACTTGTCGGGGTGGCGACGCCATTCTTCTGCCAGGGTTGGCGTGGTCACACCCAATTGCGGCATGGTTTTGCCGCCCCACTCCAATCAATGACGTGGTCACACCATCTTTGGGTGTGGTCACACCAGCCTGGTTCGATCAATAGCACATTCACACTGCCTTTAAAGCGATGTCTCACCGTTTTAGAGCGCTTTCTTGCTGGGTTTCTCGTTCCATCTCGTTTTTATTCAATTCATGCATTATGCACAATATGAACAAAATACATTTCCCAAGCATAATTTGTGTTAAATAAATGAATTTAAGATGAAAAATGCAGGAAAAATAACAAGTAAAATGATGTAAGATTGATGCATGTCACATTGTCATCATCATATTGCCATCAATTGTGGCTATTATCAAACCCCGACCGCCACAATACCATCTAGGCCACAAGTCGTGACCAAAAATTGTGCAAATTAATGCTCTGAGTGAATAATTTTTACTATCGATATTTTGAGGAACAAATTTGTACAGGATTATCAATTCTTTATCATACCATATAATGGTGGTTGCAACTCGTCCACTCACCATCTCTGGTTATAATACTTTATAGGATAAATGCAAACAACAACTTTATGAAATTAGAATAAATGTATTCTTAGAAATTTTTTTTTTTTGGTTTGGAATAAACTAACTTTTACTCAAGTTTATTTTTGGTACACTTAAGTGTATGACTGAAAATGTCAGCACAAATCTTAAAGAATTTTAACGGACCAAGAAGCAAAAGAGCTACTATAGATGACTAACAAAGGGAAGAACAAGAGCCATGTCGCCAAAAGGCTATAAGACCCTTCTGTGTCAGGACCCAAAGCCAATCGAATGAAGGTCGCCAAGACAAAGATCAAGACTTGTTTTACTATGAGAGAAAGCATCATCCAGACTCTAATCCTAGAAATATCAGTTGACTTCTGAGAGCCCTCAATGACTTCTCACAAGTCCTAATATCCTCATCACGACATGCTCCATTAATACTTTAGACAAGCCTATCATTTAAAGGTGAGTTAACTGTCAGATTATGGTGATTCACCATTAGCCCGACAATCTAGAGTCATCCCAGAAACATGAGTGCCTCATCTAAGGGTTGATAGTCGACGACTGGACTGATGCAGTCGACCAGCTAACTCAAACCAACTGATTGAAGGTCTAGAGGACCAAATGACAACCAATGACGATCAAATTCCCCACTCAACAGACCCCCATAAGTGGACCTTGTTGATCGAAGGACCACCGTTTCGAATCGTCTGAATGATAGGGTGGTCGAGCCATAAGCTCGTTTTTTGTACCTATAATATCCAGTAACACACTCATAAAAAAAGTACGACAAACATGTAATTGTACATTTGATACTCCATTATCTATAAATAAGTGGTAATTTTCACTGTAAAAGGTCAGACGGTCATGCTTAAGAGAACCAAATATTTATTGTGCACTATGTCAACGCTCACACACACACACTTTCTTCTCTTTCTATTGTACTCATATTTTTCAGGTGTGAATCATATTTTTCAGGTGCGATTCACACAACATATTCAGATCCAACACTATGAGAATTAAATTTATGGATAAAATAAGTTCAATTTCAGCTTAGACATGAATATAAAAGCTAGATTGAATGTTCATTTTAAACTCAACCTAACGTTTACCCTGCATAAATATTAGTGAACATTTTGGCTGTCTTAGAGAGATTAGGGGTCCGTTTGAAACAACTTGTGCGTTTCAGTATAAGCTGCTTATCCTGAAACGCGGCCCACGGGCCGGCCGCAGGAGTCGACTCGCGACCTGCTTTTAGTGTAAAAACCCAAACGCAGTTTCAGATAAGCTAGTGAAACGCGCGAACCAAACGGTACATCGGCATTTTGAAAACGCCGTCCACACTTATAAGCTGCTCCAAACGGACTCTGGGTTTGTCTACCACACAATGCTATGAAACATGCACATATGTTATATGCATGAAAAAAGTTCACATATTTTACCACTACACTAGAAAAAATTCACACATGTATTTATTTTTGATTTGCCTGCTCAATCACTGAGCGTTTCACATCACCATTTTATTATTCCATGTTTCAATGTTCTATCACAAAATATTACTTGAATATTTTAAAATATAAATATTTAATAAACGAGTTTAAAAAGATTTTCTTCAAAGATAAATAATAATTATTAAAGTTTCTATTAACACCCACAATAATTTGTTAGTACATCATCTAATAATTATTTCACTTGAAAGCAAGGCGCCACGTCTGCATCTTACTCGAATTATTTCATCTTCTAATCTATGGTTCTTTCCTCGGTCTATTTTTGGTCCTCAAATTGCTCAACCAAAAATACTATCACGCAGCCCCACATTTCGCCCCAGACCCTATCCGTTCTTAGCATCATTGGGTTCGGCTCCGGGTGAAAATGAAAATAGCCTCCGAACTCGTTTTTATTAATCCGCGCTATAAATACTCAGAATAAGCTAGGTATTGTTATCGTTTCCCCCATTTCCTTGTCATAATCTCTCTCCTCCGTGATTACGAGCCCTCTGATGCTGTAGCCGAGTTCTTTCGCCCTCGAGTCGTCGTCGCACGCTCTGGCTCTCGCTTGCGCTCGTGTTCGCCGGCTTCGAATCTGAAACCCTACCTCTTTCGCCGGAAGTCTCCGGCCGGCCGTTGATATTGCGGTCTTTTTGCGATTTTACTGTCGAACTGGAAGTTCCTATCTAGCGGCGGTAGATCTTTCTCATCCTCTGTCTTTGGGGCGATCGGGAACCTTAATTTGGTTCCGCTTCTTCCGACGATCGGCGGTCTTCTGTTGCTTTCATGGCGGAACGAAAGTTAGATCTGGCGCGTATTATGCAGACGAAGCCTAACCCTGAGGCTTGGGGCGGCAAAGGTATATGGGTTACTCACTCTATTTAGCTCCCTTCCTTTTGGTTTGTTTGGCATGGATCGGCTAGGGTGGGGGGTTTGAGCTCTCTAGGGTTTTCTTTTGTTGGGCTGTAGATGTTCGGTGATGGAATTTTTTTTGTTTGGTGAACTTTTGTTGTATTGTTTTACTTTATTGCGAGGGATTATTTTTTGAAAATAGGTTATGTTTGGTCAGTGGAGGAAAATGAGTTCAGCGCTCTGGGATGCTAGGTAATGGCAGAAGATCCTAAGATTGGGGCATTTGTGGTGTTGTAAGTGGATTGTGCTATCTGGAATCTATTAATGAGGGAACGCGTTAATATTATTTTGTTTTGTTTTGCTGATTTCGCGTTGATTTTGTAACTTATGTGAGTGTTTTGTTGCTGTTCTACTTCTCTACTTCTCGTTTCATTTTTGCACGAAAACTAATCATTCGCACTATACGATCCTTAATAATGATTTTCTACCCTTGCTTTGGAAGGTGATGCCACTGGAATGGTTGATGACGAAAAGGGTCTCATGGGCTCTCTTGATGACTCAAAAGGTTATTTCTCATGAATTTATTGTATTTGTGAAATTTGCACGGTAGTTTAGTTTTTTATTATGCATTTGAAGCTTTTAATGTTAATTGTAGTATGTTATTTTGGCTTATTTCATTGTTTTATAATTTTTAGCAGATTATATCTATCACGTAGCTTAATTTATAATGGTATATTTCATAAGGCAGTGTAGAATCCATTTAATTTGAATATTTAATGTTTGATATGAGTTTCTTAGGCTATGCCAGATGGGCTAGTTACTTGTTGTGCTTTTGTATTACTAAGCATGCTGTTTGTTTAGTGCATATAATCTTGAATTTATTTTTGCATGTGTCGGAATTTGTTTTCTAAATTTGCATGCGTGCTAGGTATACACTGCGAGCATGCATGTGTGTACTTGTCTATCTACTAGCGTATATGATATGATGCCTTTCATTTACTCAAATTCACTGTTATGCTTCCCCTAGTTAATCTTTACCTATTTTTGTTTTAGGGTCTCCACACTAAAATTATTTTAAAATTATTTTACAATTATTTAGGTGTTCTGAACATCGTGCTATTCTTGCCATTGCTTAGAACTTTACTTTTAGCAGCTTAGAAGGCCTACTTCAATAGATTTAAGATTTCCAATCTTTATTTGCTTGTCATACATGCTATATTTTCTTAATTGATTGTGTAAATTGCCCTGGATTTTTTTTTTCCTAATAGTTTGGCATTCTGCAGATCAACTGACTTCTGAGAATAGTTTCCCTTTATCTCCTCAGTGGCTGTATTCTAAAAATTCTGATAGCAAGGTTGGCAATTCTGCTGCATCTGGGGTATGCAAACTATTTTCTGTTGTATATATTCTTTTATTCTACCAGTGTTTCTCATATTTCTGTTCTATCTCATATTCATTCTTTTTATTCGAAGCTGTGGTTTTTCTGGTTATGCCGACCTTTGTTTCACTTCTTGTATTACATACTTATATTTTAAATTCACCAATGTTGGCTCTGACTAGATGTCATGCACAAGAAAGAGTTTAATTCAAGTAATTCTTCACTTTCTATAACATTAAATACCTTTTAGAATATGTAAACATGATGTTATAATTTATTACAATAGACTAAGCTTAGAGGAATGAATATTTAGAGGACGTGCAGAAATGCTAGGAGATTGTATAGTTCTTGTATTCTTATCATCATACGTTCCTAAATTAATTCACTGTGCGAGTAGTTTTTTTCAGAAGTAATTCTGAATAAGTTATAAAATTGTTAATTTCTTACTTTATTCGATTGGAAGGAGACTCAACCTGAAGCATGAACATGATGATGTCTTACAAGCAATTTAATATGTTATTGTTTAGCATTAATGTTTTGAAATGACTATCAAAAGTCTGCTAATAGTTTCCTCTGCATTGAAAAATGTTTTAAAAGACTCTTGAAGGCTCGAGTTGTTGAAGATTTAGAAAATGGGCGAGCAAAAGATAATTGCATATAATTAATGATTAATTACAATATCAGCTGTTAAAGTTGTGGTATTGAGATTTTAGTTTGTTTCTAATTTGAGTACATAACAATTGACGTTTACATGAAGCCGTCCGCCATTATGAAAGCCACAACTATAAATGTGTTGTAATAAGATAATTTTGTGTGCAAAACATCATATTAAAATACAAATAGCCAAGGAATCTCAGATTCCTTTTTGTAAGTGTATTCTCTAATGATGTTTTTTGAATGTGCCAATTTTTAAGGCATTTGTAATCATTTATCATCATCATTAACATATCCAAACTATTTGGGGTTGGTGCTATGAATCAGCATACTTTTTAAACTTTTTTGTGTTAAATATTTTAAATCTATTCTTTGCAAATCATTGTGAACAACTCATATGTAATTTTAGGGATAATTTTTTTCCCTTAATCATCTGCCATCAATTTTGCCAACTCATCTAATTTGCTTAGTTTTAGCCATTCATTATGCATGTTCTAATCAAATAAATATATTTTTAATATTTGTGTATTCAACAAATATCATTCCAATATATCATTTAATAATTTATCCCATAATTTATCCTTTATTTGACAAATCCATTTAAACATTCTCATTTTTCTTACACAACTTAGAGATTAATGACTTCTTTATAGCCCTAAATTTGTTTATGTACAACATTTCCAGCCTAATTGTGTTTTAATAAATTTTTTTTCTAAGTCTCTTTCATGTTCCCTTATCATTAAAAAATTGTTGACATCTTTCAATGTTAAGCATTCATTCTCAACTATTGAAGTTATATCCTCATTGGTTTCTTCAATTTTTTTATTTAATAGATGCACTATATTCAAGTCTATCACATTTCTGTATCATGTTATCTTCTAATAATATTAATTGATATTTGTTAAACATTATACCTGCCACAATTACATATCATATTTTCAGTCTTTATTGTACTTGAACGCATTCACATATTTCAGTTGATGTACCACTAGTTAGAACTATATTAATTGGTAAAAGCATACACAAATCTCTCCGCATTGAACTTTTTTTTTAAACATCTCTTTATTTAATAAAAAAAAATTTCAACATAATGTTGATGATTGATTTAAATTTACAATCACAAGAAATCATTGAGCCACTCAATAATTGGTTTTAATACTAGGCAATGCTTCATCATTCATTTATTTAATAATGTCGGCATAGTTTTACTCTGTACCTTTGTGCCTTAGGTAACATGAAATTCACATGATTTAATTACAGTTATACGAGTTTCCTTTCTTTATTTTATTTTATATTTTCTTTAATTGTCTTAATATTTAAGCTGCTTCTGTATTAAATCTTCTTAGTATGCAATAAAATTAATTCTCTAAAAATAATGTAATTATACTCTTACCCTTTCCCATAGCTTCATTTTATTCATAAATTCGTTTTTAAGAATATATCATCATAATCTTGAGCAAAGTAAAAATACCAGTCATATGGTTCCTTAATCATTTAATTTCATCTTAGTTGTCAAAACTTGTGGAAAAGGGTTTGTTATCCAAATTGCTACACCTCTCGTGATCCTATATATATAGAACCTCATGCTACATATATATATATATTCATTTTGTAATTTCTCTAAGTAACATTTTAATATTTTCTTGTTTGCTTCCTTTTTAACCTTGTTGTTATGATCTTATATTTTAATTAATTTAATTGATCAAAATCCCTAGTGTTCTAATTCACCATCAATTCTCCTGTCAAAGGCTGCAGATTTTTTTTCAGGATGGATTAACTTCTCGACCTTGGAAGTGATTTTGCCCTTAATTTTTATTCTGAAACACTGATGTCATGCATGTTAGAAGTCTGTCTTTAGTGGAATCACCTGATAGCTATCTTGTTAAACAAAGCTGAATTTGCTCAACTTATTCATTTGTTAACTTATAATGTTTTGTGCTATGTACTCAAGTTAAATTTTGTTTTCACTGATTTGTTGATCATATCATAATCATTTTTTCTTTCAGCATGGTGTGATAGTATTTGTATTTAAAATTGTTCATTTCTAAAGGCTCATAATTACATTTTATAAACCAATATTAGATTGGGTGATTTGAAGAACTGTTGGAGTTTAACTGTGTATTGCTAATTGCTATTCACCGTTGTCATTATAAAGGAAACCTTGAAGATGATGGCGGTGCAACTAAGGAACCAGAAACTATATTTATCCTTAGTTGCACCACTATCATGATCATAATGCATATTTAAAAGAATCTTTGTATTAGTTAATTGTTGTCTAATTTGCTTCTCACTGTGGGCAACACTATGGTTTGTAATTGAGCCAAGTCAACTCATGAGCAGGCTTTAGCTTGGCTCAATGAATGCCCGCGAGCTGAGCTAATGAGCCAGGCTTTAGCTTGGCTCAATGAATGCCCGCGAGCTGAGCTAATGAGCCAAGCTTTAGCTAGGCTTGACTCTACTTCTTAGTTGGTGAGCGGGCTCGTTTAAAAGATTTACAAAATGCACTTTATATTAAAATATTAACGTTAAATATAAATTATATACACCCACAA